CCCAGGTCTGACTGAGGTGCCCCTCAGGAAACGCTGGGATCGGCGCCGTGCCAGCGGGAAGGGGCCGCGCTTCCCGGAGCCCGGCTCTGCTCTGCTGGGAAGGGGCCGTGGCTCTTCTCCAGAGAATTCCCATCCCGTCTTCAGCCCCAGGCTGCCTGGGCACGGGGAGCACAGAGGAGAACATCAAGGAAGGAAAAGGATCATTAATGCCGTGTCCCAGGCAGGAATAAAAACAAATTGTCCGTGTAAATCACTTTAGCTCTGGAATGCCCCTCCAGTCCCGTCAGCATCAGCCTGAGCAATAAGGCTGGTTTTAGATAGTTGTGAGGAAAAACTTATAAAAATTAAATTAATTCTCTAATTAAAACTTAATTACAGAAAAGTCAGGTTGTTGTTGGAAGGTTTCTGTGAAGGTTTCTTGAGGCTTTCTTTGCCTCAAGAAAATTGAACTTCCCTTCTAAACCCGAATAAATTTCCTTTGCCTCCAAGGAAATTGATTTGGGTTTAGCAGAGAAGTGCTTGGGGTTGACTGTACAAAAACAGAATAATTGGTTGTAAACCCCAAGAATTGTATCATTTAAAGTTATTATACCAGAAACTGGGGATGAAAGAGAATTAAGCACACATTTATAAGATATAAAAACATAGCTGAAGATGCCTCTGCTCATTGCAGACTGGTTGTGACCTTTAAACATCACTTCCCACCCGACCAACTATGAAAAATTGGTCATTTTTGCAGCCCAGTCTGTATCCAAAGGAAAACCAGGCTGGAAGGAGCAGATAATACAGAAAAAAAATGGGATTTTGTGGTTTTGTGCCTCCTGCATCTGCCCCAACCATTGCAGGCAGAACAATAAAGGTGGGAAATGAACACCCAGCTGTCTGAGAGGGCTGGGAAACCTCTTCCCACATTGGTGACACGTCATGGAGTTCAGAGAAACGGCAGAAAATACCTTGGAAAGGCACAGGAAAGGAGCTCAGGGTGCAGCAGGGCAGGGCTGCCTTTGGGCAGCACTCACAGGAGTTGGGCTCCTCTGCTTTCAGGGCTGGAGAGCCAAAAATGGAAATATTTCATAGCTGTTCATAGTAGTGTGACACTAATGGAGCTGGCTGGTTTTCAGTTCTTGAGAACTTCACTGCACATGGACTGCTCCTGGTGAAAAGTTCCATTCTGTGCCCTCCATTCTGTTTTAAAACACAATTTTTTCAGCGTGGATCAGTCATATCACAGCATGGATTGCACAGAAAAACCCAAGGGGAGTTGTTAAGTCTGGTTTGGGATAAACAGCCTGTGATGAGATCACTCTGAGTAAAAGCATGGAATAAACACAGTAATGAATAATTAAAACAAATTAAATGTACATTTGATGAGATAATTCTGTGGAAAACAAATAGCATGTGCTCATGTATCTAAATTTTCAGTCTCTCAGAGGTTAGGAAACCTGAAACTAGATTGGCTGAGATGGCAAAAAAGAGGAAGAACTTGCAGATGATGCTTCAGAGTGAGTTTTGGCTTGGTCACATTTTAGCTGGGATTTTCCTGCATTCGTATTTTAGGGACTTTTACCCCTGCAATGGACCTTCCATTTTTGCATTTTTCTTCCAGGATATCCTGGGTTATGGTGAACTGTGGGCTTGGGGGAGCAGCATCCTTCTGGCCCAAGGGAGATCTGCACAGAATTTCAAAAATATTTAATTTCTGCATCTGGCTTTTCTTAGTCTAAAGGCTTTTAAAAAGGCTCTTAATTTGTTTAACAAATACCGTTGTACATTTGGTTTTTTCCTTAAAAAATGCTGGAGCTGCTGGCTTTCAAATGTAGCAAATCATAGCCAGGAACTTGAGTTTTTACCAAATATTATTCTCTCCCAAATATCCTAATATTAATGGCCAAACTGATTAACAACCCACCTTTAGACTTCCCTCTCCTATTTTATAATTCTTTGTGATATCAGAAATTTTTGAGGGCTCTGGATAATATATAATTCCTCACCAGGATTTTAAATAAATCCTCGCCAGGATTTTAAATAAGCAGGAAAAGGCTTTGCTGGGGGA